ATCATCAGCAATTCTATCCCAGAGATCAACGGTCAAAGAATCTTCCTTTTGAAGAGATTTATGTCACACTATCTGAATACCCATAGCCCACAGCCTGTCACCAGTTGTGCCAATGCCGTGGAGTGTTCATTGCCCGATCAGTTGTAGATAATCTACACCCTTGTTTTGTAGATAATCTACACCCTTGTAGATAATCTATGCCCTTGTTTTCATTCTCAAATTATGTCCCCTCCATTACCTGCTCATTACCAATCCAGAGGACTGACGATTACTTGTTTTTATTTTGGTCCAAGAAAGGGGAACAATTTGTGTGATGATGAAGGCTGGATCATTTGCAACCAGTATTTGTGTTATCTACATTTTGCTCTCACAATCTTACTTTGTTGTGGTACTCTTCAAGTTTTCCTTCATTCACATAATAGAAAAATCATGCCAGGCCACCTCGCTCCTGTTTTATCAACAGTATATTAGACATGGAAACTACACTTTAATTGTTAAGTTGTAAAATGCCTTGCCTGAGGTCAGAAAAAAAAAAAAAAAAAGTAGAGATCCAATCTGATGCCATGTGATCTCCTGACTCTGGCTGTATTATTAGGCCATTCTGTGTTTGGATTGAGGGTGAGGAAAGAGTGAAACCGAGGTCACATGGTGTCAGAAGGAGCAGCCTGCACCTCCAGGAGCCAGGCAAACACTGCAAGTCAACCAACATCAGAAAGCCATTCTGGGAACACACTGCAAATGTACTGAGTACCTCCCTGTTCCCTGCCGTGAGAGCCACGTTCCAACTAAAGAAACAAAATATCTGAAACAGACTGAGCCTGCTCTTCTTTTCTTTAAAAAATAAGTGTGTGTGTGTGTGTGTGTGTGTGTGTTGCATATTGTGTGAACTTATGCCACTTCGCACGTGGAGAGGCCAGTGGGTTATTTCCTTCCGGCTTTGTATGACTTCTAGGGACTGAACTCAGATCAGCTACTTGTAAAGCAAGTGCTGTTGCCTGCTAAGCCAGCCAACTGATTTCTGTCATCCCTCCCTTCCTCCCTCCTCCTCATCCCTCTCTCCTTCCCTCCCTCCCTTCCTTCCTTTCTTCTTTTCTTCATTTTTGAGACAGCATTTGATGTCCTAGAGCTTGGTATGAAGACCGGGCTCGTCTTGAACTCAGCCTTCTGAGTGATGGGATTAAAGGCATGCACCACATGGGTCTAGCTCATCCATTTATTAACCTTTATAAACACACTATGAAATGCAACACATGCATCACAAAGGCCACAGAGTTCTAACTGTGAAACTACAGGAGCCTCCTGAAGGAATTTCTTGAGAAAGGAAGAGGACAGTGGAAGACAGAGTAAGGGAGGGGATGTGAAATCATCACCCTGCAATCCATTATTGTGTGTAAGGAGGGCCCACAAGTTACAACTAATGAAAAAAATTCTGCTCTTTTCTTCTAGCACAGTTCATGCTGCCTCACACCAGGATATGAGTCCCTTCTGGACCTTGGAAGGATCAGATATTGTGGCCTGGAAGGAAATTCAAGGGGCAGGAGACTGGGTAGGCCCACCCAGATTCCAACCCCACTGCCTGACCATAAATCACATAGAAGATAGGATATCCAAGTCAGATTTTCAGCATCCTCTTAGGTTTCCCTATCACAAAGTATACCACTTCTGCCTCTCATACTCACAAATCCTGCTACTGTGCCCCCAGGCTGACCAGAAGCAGCACTAAACTTGGGGCCAAGATCAACGAAGACTCATTGAGCACTTAGCTCAAGATCAGCAGAAGACAAATCAGCACAATCTGACTTAGGGAGGCTGACCCTAAGCCTGTGTGTGCTTGTGTGCATGTGTGGTGTGTGTGTGTGTGTGTGTGCGTGCGCGCGCGTGGTGTGTTGCTTGCACTTATATGGATGTGTTCTGTGCACGCATGTGCAGTGTTCAGCCAGCATCTTCCTCTATTACTCTCACTAGTAGATGCACCTCTGGCAGTGTTCTTGGGGCTGTTTCCAGAGAAGTTTAACTGAGGAGAGAAGACCCTAAGAGAAGCACAGTCTTATGGACTAAGCCCCAGACTGAATGCAAAGGAGAAAGCCGAGAGTCATGGGGTAGCCTGTAATCCCAGCACTGAGGAACTCAAGGCCTGCCTCAGCTGCACCACGAGTTCAAAGCCAGCCTGAGCCACAGGAGACAGAGTGGGGCTCATTCCCTACTTTTGGACCTTGCTGCATGAGTTTTAGTGAAAATCCTCCCCCTTCTGCCGCCAGAGCCACAAGCTGCTCCCACTGCCATGCTTTTCCCCAATTGATAGATGGCCCCTCAAATCATGAACCTAACAAGTCCTTCATCGCTTGGTTTGTTTCTTGTTGAGCATTTAGTCACAGCATGTACAGTTGGGACGGGAGCGAACTAGCAGAGGAGGCTGTCTGCCTTGAGTTGGCAGCAGAGGAGGCTGCCTGCCTTGAGTTGGCAGCAGAGGAGGCTGTCTGCCTTGAGTTGGCAGCAGAGGAGGCTGTCTGCCTTGAGTTGGCAGCAGAGGAGGCTGCCTGCCTTGAGTTAGCAGCAGAGGAGGCTGTCTGCAGTTGGCAGCAGAGGAGGCTGTCTGCCTTGAGTTGGCAGCAGAGGAGGCTGTCTGCCTTGAGTTGGCAGCAGAGGAGGCTGTCTGCAGTTGGTAGCAGAGGAGGCTGTCTGCCTTGAGTTGGCAGCAGAGGAGGCTGTCTGCCTTGAGATGGTAGCAGAGGAGGCTGTCTGCCTTGAGTTGGTAGCAGAGGAGGCTGTCTGCCTTGAGTTGGCAGCAGAGGAGGCTGCCTGCCTTGAGTTGGCAGCAGAGGAGGCTGCCTGCCTTGAGTTGGTAGCAGAGGAGGCTGTCTGCCTTGAGTTGGCAGCAGAGGAGGCTGTCTGCCTTGAGTTGGTAGCAGAGGAGGCTGTCTGCCTTGAGTTGGTAGCAGAGGAGGCTGTCTGCCTTGAGTTGGCAGCAGAGGAGGCTGTCTGCCTTGAGTTGGTAGCAGAGGAGGCTGTCTGCCTTGAGTTGGCAGCAGAGGAGGCTGCCTGCCTTGAGTTGGTAGCAGAGGAGGCTGTCTGCAGTTGGTAGCAGAGGAGGCTGTCTGCAGTTGGTAGCAGAGGAGGCTGTCTGCCTTGAGTTGGTAGCAGAGGAGGCTGTCTGCAGTTGGCAGCAGAGGAGGCTGCCTGCCTTGAGTTGGTAGCAGAGGAGGCTGTCTGCCTTGAGTTGGCAGCAGAGGAGGCTGTCTGCCTTGAGTTGGCAGTGTACAGACACAGGGAAGAAGGTACAAGTAAAGGAACAGGCAGGAGCCCCCGATTTCCCCCACTCCCTTCCATTACCTAAACGTAACCGACCCCAACCATGCACTAGCCTATCTTCTCATCATTCTGGGTAGAGAACGCAAAGAAATTCTTAGAAGTTTGAAAATAAAAGCTTCCAGTCTTTAAACATGGAAGCCCCAGAAACAAGACCGGAAGTGAAATTTCCCTTAGAACCCCCAGAGAGAAGACCACCTACCCTTGCTTGACTCCAAACCCACAGGACCCAAAGACAAGAGTGGGAGGTTTATGCCACCAGCTTTTGTCTTTTGTTTGTTTGGTGTGTGTGTGTGTGTGTGTGTGTGTGTGTGTGTGTGTGTGTGTGGTTATTTGTTACAGCAGCCACAGCACAGGTGAGGTCTCGTGCTAAAACACAACAGATCACACTGTCGTTGAGACCATAGCAAGGGGCGGGAAAGGTGGGGGAAGCATCAGCAGGGGACAGCTGAGCCATTCCTAAGATGTCCTGACCACCTGTGAGTACACAGGTGATGGACTACATTTGAGCTCATACATACAAAGGCTAAACTCTGTCGTGGGTTGGTTGAGTTGTGACCCACTCCATTCATAGGCTGACACTGTAGAACCTCCTACCCCCAAATTTGAACTTAATTAGCAATAGGAACTTTTAAAAGATGAGATAAGAGGATTGATCTTGGTCAAATATGACCGAGGAGCTCATAAAAGGAAGGTGCAAAGGCAGACAAACGTAGGGGGCGGGGGGGGGGGGAACGACTCAGAAGGAGGCCCAGAACAAATCCTTCACAGAGCTCAGAAGCAATGGTCCTCCAGACGCATGGACTTTGCACTTGGATTTCCACAATTTAAAACAAGAGTTTTGGTTGCACAAACCCCTGTCTTTCTGCCAATAATGAAGGCATGGGGGTGAGGTTATAATTTGCAGCGGCACAAATGCTTCCTGACATCTCTGTGAAAGGACCAGTCGCCTGGTGTCTGTGAATGAAGATGCTGATGGAGGCAGAATGATAAACCAGGCAGTCAGCAAAGTCCAGTGTCTGTCCAGAGCCACAGCAGTGAACCAGCAGCTCCCTGCTTCCCCGCACCCTGGACATCCAGTGACTCGCACTGAGTAGGGGGTAAGGCATGGTCTCCTCTACAGAAGAAACTCACGTGGGGAGAAGGCTCTTTACAGAAGGAAGTAACAGAGATGAGAGAGAGAGTCAAAAGAGACAAAATGGGGAAGAAGAAAATAAAAAGATAATAAAGTAGAAAACAGGTTTGGCCCAGCAAGGGACAGAACGCAGTTCTGAAACATGAGATAATACAAATATTATATCATTCAACAAATAGGATCTCACAACCTTATGCAGTAACTGTAACTGCGGTGCCTAATTCCGAGGCTGAATGTACTAAACACCAGATACTCATCTGAAGGTCTATGGACCCTCTTATCAGTAATCCTTGCCTTCTCGTTTTTTCTATACCGTCTAGGTCCCGGCTGTCCCTTCTCCGAGAATTTCATCTTAGGTTCTCATTGCCAAAACTGAAGTTTTCATGCCATAAGAAGCCAGAAGTCAAAAGCCACAAAACACTTGCTCCAAAGAAATACAGATCAACGCACCTTGGTTCTCAGACGGACAGCCTGGCCATTCTACCGCCATCTCCCCCTCCTTCCTTCTCTTCAAACTTCAAACCCACCCCAGATGCAACCCCCAGAAGCCAGCTGCTACCTTGTCCTTCCTCTGGTAACTCCGGTTTCAGATGGAGCTGGCCAGTCAGGGGACTGGAAGGGACAGGTGAGGTACAGCAAGGTGTGCTAGCCTCAAGGAAAGGCTTTCCAGTCTCAGCTTCCCCCAGTGGGCGTGGCTGCCCGCAGAGGATGAAGCCTGGGCGGGTGCCCCACTAGGGGAAGTCTGTGGGCCCTGAGGTTTCCGGAACTCACCACACAGCAGCCAGCAGGAAACCTCGGCCCAAACTGTAAAAGTTGGACTTGTTGCCCAGCGACGACGTGCTCATTTTCGATTGCAAGTGCAGGGGAGAAGTCTGTTTAGGTCGGCACGGATGAAGGGCAATATCGCCACCTGCTGGCAGATGCCGTATCAGCAGTTTCCCCGGAAATTTACAATTACCAAGGAGATCCCAGGCAAGGTTCCCCACCCCAGCCCCAAGGCTTTGCCAGGTGTTACAAGGTAATAAGGACCACAACCAAGACCCAAATACACCTAAAGGGAACCGATGCAAAAGAAAATTCTAGAAGTTGGTCGTAATATATCTAGGATGAAGTTTTAGAAACTCATTATGCGTGGGACCCTCCTGGGGAAAGGGCCTATGGGAAAATAGTTACCTATACTCCTCTGTCTAAGCCAGTAATATCTCAGACCCCTCTGGGGCGGGTAGCATATCAGATATCTTACACATCAGATATTCACATTACAATTCATAACAGTAGCAAAATTATGATTATGAAGTAGCAACAAGATAAGTTTATGATTGGGGCCTCGGCAACATGAGGGACTGTTAAAGGGTGGCAGCATTAGGAAGGTTGGGAACCTCTGGAAGCCCCCTTGACTTACAGCTGAACCTCGAGGGAGGATTATAATTCAACTGGTAGAAGTATTTCATCAAAAAGGGCCTTTTAAAACCCCAATCCTGAGGCAGACAGCTTTGAAACTGAAAGACATTTAATGTGAAGGAGGCAATGATTCTTCCAACTTTGTCTGAAAGCACTGAGACTCCCCCTCCCCCCACTCCTCCCTCCCAGAGAGGCAGCAACACCTAGCCGTGCCCACGCTGTACCTGAAAGGCCTCCCTGACAACAAGGGATCACCAGAGATGCTCTGACGGAAGCTGTGGTCATGCCCAGGACCATGAGTGAGACTGGCAGGTGCTGGGGGACAGTAGACATCAATAACATTTAAGCCAGGCAACAGAAACTGGGGGACCCTGGTTAGGTTAGAGTTAGCCTGGTGGTCATGACTTCCCTTGCCATACTGAGGAGTCTTGGGGACAACTGAGGGAAAGTTTTGTAAGAAAAAAAAAAAAAAAAAAAACAAACAAATGTATTCTACAGTCCACTAAAGGTAGGGAAGTAATTATGGGCTGTGTGACCTCATGCTAACACTGGGTTGGCATAGCCAAAGAACATTGGTCATGAGTAAACGTCCATGTAAGTGTTGTGTTAGTTTTATATCCTAGGTTAGCTCAGGTTGTATGATACTTTTCTATTGCTGATTAAACAAATTACACAAATGCAGTTGCTTGGCTGACACCTTATTACAGTTCTGCACGCCAAAAGTTTAACAAAGGTCTCCTTGTACTAAAATGACTCACTGTATATATTCCTTTCTGAGGGATCTCGGGGGGAAAATGCTTCCTTGCCTTTCCAACATCTGAGACTTCTCCCAGTTTGGTGCAAACTCCTGCTTCCTGTAGTCATTGTCCACAGTAGAGCATCAGGGCTGGGTTAGCATTCAGCTGTCTGAGCTTTCTCAGGGCAACTTCAGACAGCTTACTTTGCAGCACTTTCGTCCACCATCAAAGCTAGCAAGCCATTAACAGGTAGAGCCCTTTCACGTGTTTCAGTAGATCAAACCCAGGGCCTCACAGGCACTAGGGAGTGCTTTACCACTGAAGTACATCCCCAGCCCTTGGTTTCTTCTGGGAGAAAGTTGTTGAGTAGGCAGGGAGTCAGGGAGCTGGAAGGGGAAGCAGATTCTCAGTGAGGACGCTTAATGCTTTCAAGACAGACATTTCATTAAACAGTATTCAAAATGCTTATATTGTTTAGATGACGAGGAGCCAGATGAGCAGCTTGGGGCTCTACTCTGTCCCTGAACCTTAAGTGTAAACAGGTGACAGTAATTATAAATAGCTGTGCCTTCTTGGCCCAACACCAAAAAAACTGTAGAAAGGTAAAGTTCTCACTAGTATGTCTGATTAGCTATCAACTCCTGTCTCATATACCCATCCTGAGGATTGGGTTACACGGAACAGCCTGCAAGATTAAATCAGCAGAAGTAAATGTGTTTATTTCTTCCTGTATTGACATGGAGAGGTGGAGTGTCACATGATGCTGGACAGAAGACAGTTTTTATGCTAGCCGCAATAATGCAAAGGCTTGCTACAACTGTTCTTTGTTCTTTCCCCATTCACCTAACTTGCCTTCTGGCAAGGAGTACGTACTATCCTTCCCCTGGATTCCAGTTTTCATTAAAAGTTTTCTTAACCTTTTCACTGGTGTCCATTTTGTTCCTGTCTTGGAAGTGCTTGTGGGAGATGTCCCTAATCTTAGGCTGCCTCATCCAAAGACTGGGGTAGTTTTCTAATCATGGTGACAGAGTCTCACTGTGGGTGGCCTTCAAATCACTGGGAACCTATTCTGACTTATTCTTGTAATCCCCCTGCCTCAGTCAGAATCCTGAGTGTTGGAGTTTCAGAGAGAACACAACCACACCTGTCATATGTGTGTCTGACTTTTCTTTCACTGTTATGCATTATCATTCTAAGCAAAAAAAGAAAAAAGTTGTGACAAAATGGTTCCATTCATAAACATTCTTGATGCCAAGACTGATGACCTGAGTTTAGTCTCAGTTCCCACACTGGAGAAAAAGAGAAACAAATCCCACAGGTTGTCCTCTGTCCTCCACATACATGCCTGCACACACACACACACACACACACACACACACACACACACACACATTGACAGACACTTATGCAAATAAGAAAATAAACAAATGCAATTAGTAGGTCTTTTAATTAAAATGTTTAAAAAGAATCAAAGCAATTCATATACTTTATCAAAGCATATTAGGCAAAGAAGCAAAAATCTTACATGTATGTGCAGAATTAAACTACACATTCTTTTTTTTTTTTGAGACAGGATTTCTTTGTATTGCTTTGGAGTCTGTCCTGGGAACTAGCTCTTGAACTACACATTCTTTTTAAATAACCATTGAATTAAAAAACCATCGGGGATGAAATTTTAAAGTTCATAGAATCAAATGAAAATGAAAACACAGCTTACCAGGACCTTAGGGTACAGCAAATGGATTCCTAAGAGAAAAGTTCAAGTCTGTGGATGTTTGCATGAAGAAAGAATCAGAGCTATCTCAGGTAATTGACCTAGTAATGTTTCTGTGAACTCTTGACTCAGATGTTAACTTAGCAGTGAAGCCTTTCCAGCCCCCTCCCTCCGCCCTGCCTTGGTATCTCCATCATCTCAGCATGTTCCACCCCTTTCAGGACTTCACACACACACACACACACACACACACACACACACACACACACACACACATCCATTTCAATCTTTCTGAAAAAGAGAGGGTTCAATAATTCCAGGAAGCTTCTAAAATTAAACTTACTTAGGTGCTACTTCTTTATCCCTCATGGAAGGCCTCCCCCTCCCTGGGGAGCAGAAAGGGGATGGGATGAGGGGGCAGAGGAGGAAGGGAGGGGACCAGGCAGGAGGGGAGGGAGAGAGAACTGGGATTGACATATAAAACAAGCTTATTTCAAATTTAAAGAAAAAAAAATGTGCTACTTCTTACCAGGTGGTGGTGGCACACTTCTTTAATCCCAGCGCTGGGGAGGCAGAGGCAGGTGGAAGTCTGAGTTCGAGGCCAGCCAGGGCTACACTGTGGAAACCCTGTCTTTTTACACATCATTTATGTGAACACCGCATTAAACGATCCTTCACAAAGTAAGAATCGTCTAATTCATGAAGGCATGAGCATGAGCTGAGTTGCCCTGGCTCCATCCTTGCTAGCAGGCTGTTGTGTCTGTGGTCCTCACATTCTGCTTTAGCAAGGCAGCATCAATAGGGAAGCAAGGATGCACAAGGCAGAAAGAGCATGTGTGAAATTGGGTCCTTTTCTTTGCAGTTTTCACCTTGGAATTATGGCAGAGACTGCTCAGTCCATCTTACCTAATCTGGCTTGTGTGTGTGAGTGTGAGTGTGTGTGTGAGTGTGTGTGTGAGTATGTGTGTATTTACACAATATGCCCAGCCCTGTGATGATGTTGTTAGTAGCGTTTGCTTATAAACCATTAGCATCAAGGATGGGTACTCCTAGTCTGGAGCAAAAGGGCTCCCTACTGGCCCAGTATACTGGCTGGATGACAACTAAGGCTGAAACCACATTTTAAAGGTGACAGAGCCACAGCATGAAGGAAACTTTATTTCTGAGTAGCCACAGGGAAGAACATGCCTGGAGAAAGTCACCCAACCGAACACACTGGCAAGAAAAAACTGTAACATTAAGCCACTGGAATTTAAGGCTGTTCCGCCAGCAGCTGGCATTAATCACTCTGAGGAATGCCATCGTAGGAACATTTCAGAGGCACATTTTCCATATCAGTAGAGGGAAAGAGGATAAACTACAATAAAGATACCATTTCACAATGCCTGCCACTAGACTATTTAGTGAGCTATATATAAAGTAGGAAGAAGACACAAAGAAGATTGATTCAGTCCTCAGCCATGGAGAGGAGGAGGAGGAGGGAGGAGGAGGAGAGAAGGGAAGGGATATATGAAAGTATGTGTTCATTAAAAACCTTTGAAATCGCATAGATTATAATGATGATAGCACAATGGCAGCTGCTGACTCTATGTCGTGTAGGGAAGGGGGGCATCCTAAGAAAAGAACGACAATTACATGAAGAGACTAAGGATATGGAAGATGCCCCCCTTCTTAGTTTAGGGGCTTAGCAGGTGCCTCTTGAGGCCAGAAGGTACTGGATCCCTTGGAGCTGGAGATACAGGACATTGTGAGCTGATAAACATGGATGCTGGGGTTCTGACTCTGGCCTTTATGACTGAGCAGCAAACTATATTAACAACTGAGCTATTAACTCCAGCCCCGTGGGAGATACATTCTTGTTTTCGATTTTGATGAGTGAATGAGTCTATATTGTTATAAAAAAAAAACTTTAGAAAATCAAAATAATAAACAGAATGTGC